CTGTTTCAAAATCCGGAATTTGCACGTGGTTTTGCCGCTTTAATGGCCCAAACGATACCGAGAACATCAACAACGGCTCCGGTACACTCCATCATTCCCACGACCCCCGCGAACTGACAAAATCCACCGGCACGACAAGACGGCGGAAGGACAACATCTCATGCTACATCTCAACCTCGGGATCGAATGTCACAACCGCCTCCGGAACAAAATACACGACGCACTGACGCCGGGCGTAATCCTCCCATACTTCCCCAAGAGGAAACTGCCGAAAGTCAGTCGGGTCATTTACGACGGACACCGCCTCGTGAGCAGCACCGACATCCTTCCAATCCGGCGCAAACCGACCTCCGACAGCATATTGAACGGAATCGGGCTCGCCAAGAGTCGTCCGAACTCGAAACACTACGACGACGAATAGCCGAATTGGAAAGTCGGCAACGGGCACCTGAGGATCCACCTCGGCGGGCCTCTACCTCGGCCCAGGTGTATTTGGAAGCCGATTCTCCCCTCACTCCGGAACTTACTTCAGAACCAGTTCCTGGCAAAGTCAAGGTTCCCCAAATCGGGCTATATGATGGAACATCCGACCCGGACTCACACCTCGGTCATTACACCTCATGGATGGACCTGCATGGAGCGTCAGATGCACTTCGGTGTCGCATGTTTTCACTAACATTGGGGCCTCGGGTCCAAAAATGGTACCATTCGCTTCCCCCTCACTCGATTTGGAAATGGCAACAATTGAGGTCGGCTTTCCGATCTCATTTTATCGGGGCCCAAGTATGCCTTATCCCGAAAGAATCTCTTGCCAACATCACTCAAAAAGATGATGAAAGCGTTAAAGATTATATCGCCCGTTTCAACGACCGAGTTCAGAATATGGAACCCTGTCATCCCGAAACTTTGCTTGTTATTGCTATTGCTGGGTTGAAGTCGAACTCGATTTTCCGCTGGACGTTATGCCAAAATAAACCGAATACCTTTCAAGAATTTCTTGCTCGAGCCCAACAGCATATCATAGCGGAAGAAGCTATGTCGGTTCCCGATTTCAATTTTAACCAAAAGTCCTCTAAGGTGGGAACCGACGAAAAGAGGAAGAATAAATTTTTCGACAAGCAAAATAAGACTCAATTCAGGGGGCCTCCCCGAGGAGACCCCAACGATCCCGAAGTCCGAGCGGCCCGAAAACAATACGCGACCGACGTGAAGTCCGGTTATCAAATTGTGTACTCGGCAGGAGCAGCTACTATTTATGAAGAAATCAAAGGGAAGGGCATTTTGCCAGATCCCAAGCCACTTCGGGCGCCTGAAGAAAAACTGGACAAGTCCCGATATTGCGATTACCACAAGTCGCCCGGGCACAACACGGACGAGTGTTTGAGTTTGTTGGCCGCATTGTTGCGTTTAATCGGCCATCCGCAGCTTAGGAAATTTTATCGTAATGCTGATTCCCAGAGGCGAGGTCCTGGACGTCAGATCGAATCCTTTAATGATGAAGATGACGAGGAAGACCGAGGTGCAATAACAAAACGCATCCGACAGGGGGATAAAGAAGTATTCATGTTTACCTCGGAAACCTCCGGTTCTGCCCCTGCTGAAATTTCCCGAGGACGTAAGCGAGTTAGATCTCCTGAACCGATGCAAATCACTGTCCATCGAGTCAATACCAACAACTCCCGGAGTACGTTGTCCCGCCGACAGGTTAAGGCGTATGCCCGACAAGCTTACAACTCCGGTAAACAGGTTTACACCACCGATTTGAGAGATGTTCTCAACAATCGGAATTGCCCAATAACTTTCAATATGGAGGACGCGAATCACTTCGCTCATCCTCATTCTGACGCCTTGGTCATTACCGTTCCAATATGTGGTATCCCGGTTCATCGTGTCATGGTGGACACTGGGGCCTATTCAAGTATTTTGATGCTGAAAGCTTTTGACAAGATGGGTCTTGACCCCGCCGAGATCAGACCTGGCAACGATCAAATCCAGGGGTTTAATGGCAGTATTTCAAAACCCATCGGAGAAATCACTTTGCCCGTCCGATTTGGTACCTCGGAGAATGTCACCAAACTCGTTATGGAGACTTTTAAAGTCATGGATATTAATAACGAATACAACGCCATCATCGGTAGAACGGCGTTGTACAAACTTCGGGCCGCAGTCTCTATCTTCCACTACGCGTTGAAGTTTCCGACAACCCGAGGAGAAGGAACCCACCTCGGAGATCAAAGAGAAGCTAGGCAAGTTGTAACGTTCATCCCATCTCACGGAGTTCATTCAGCTTCAACAAGTAACAATGAAACCTCCCTACAACATCACCATCCGAATGATGTGGTGACCGAAGAACCGAGCAACCACATCGGTGAGCCTTCCACCTCGGATCCTTTAACCGAGGACCGAGGACGCCGACCCGGAAAAGAGCCCCTCCTAGAAGAAGATGAGCTGGATCCCAGAGCCTTGTTTAAAGACAAAAGTCGACCTGATCGAGCCGAACCTGGGGAAGACGTGGAGTTAGTCTATATTGACGAACCAATCTTCCACAAGTCATTACGTATCGGAAGTCATCTTCAGGAACCACTTCGGTCAGAACTTATTGCGTTTCTCAAGCAGAATTCTGATGTCTTTGCCTGGAAGCACGAGGATATGAAGGGTATCGATCCCGGTGTCGCTAGCCACAAACTAAACCTCGATCGAACAGTCCGGCCTGTTGTACAAAAAAGGAGGAAACTGGGGCCGGATCGTCAGAAGGCATTGGAAGAAGAAGTTAAAAAACTAGTTGACAATAAATTCATCAAGGAAGCCAAATACCCGACGTGGGTCTCAAATCCAGTGCTCGTTAAAAAGAGTAACGGGTTGTGGAGATTGTGTATTGATTTTTCCGACCTCAACAAGGCGTGCCCAAAAGACAGTTATCCGCTTCCCCATATTGATTATATGGTTGACGCCACGTCGGGACATGAATTGATGAGTTTCATGGACGCATACTCCGGCTATAACCAGATTCCTATGGATCCCGAGGACTCTGAATACACTTCATTCTATTCGGCCCGAGGTCTGTATTGTTACACTATGATGCCGTTCGGATTAAAAAACGCCGGAGCCACATATCAACGTCTTGTCAACAAGATGTTCGCAACATTGATCGAACACACTATGGAAGTGTATGTTGATGACATGCTCGTGAAGTCGGTGCACGCCTCTGATCATATAACGCATCTTCGAGACATGTTCGCCATCCTCCGATGTTATTCCATGGTGCTGAATCCAAAGAAATGTACTTTTGGAGTTGAATCCGGAAAGTTTCTAGGCTATATGGTTAGCCAGCGCGGGATAGAAGCCAATCCGGCCAAAATAAAGGCCATTCAAGATCTAACTCCCCCAACCTCGGTCAAGGGTGTCCAGGCCCTAACCGGCCGACTTGCTGCGCTCAACCGGTTCATCTCCAAGTCTACAGATCGTTGTAAGCCGTTTTTTGAAGCAATTAAGAAAGGGAAACGTTTTGAGTGGACTGAGGAATGCCAAAAAGCTCTCGACAATCTCAAGGAGACGCTGATCTCTCCCCCGACTTTGCAAAAGCCGAAACCCGAGGAGATGTTGTTCTTATACCTCGGAGTTAGTGAATCGGCCATTAGCGCTGTTTTGATAAGCGAAGAAGGATTGCTGCAATCACCTATCTATTATGTCAGTAAGGCCTTACACGATGCCGAACTACGTTATCCTCCGATGGAAAAGTTAACATTTGCACTTGTGATAGCAGCCCGGAAATTACGACCCTACTTCCAAGAGCATTCTATAACTGTTCGCACTTCATATCCACTTCGGCAAATCCTGCACCGACCTGACACCTCGGGGCGCATGGTTAAATGGGCCATTGAGCTCGGACAATTCGACATCCACTATCAACCGAGGACTGCAATCAAGGCCCAGACCTTATCCGACTTTATCGCCGAGTTTACCCCGGCCATCACAGTTCACTGTAATAATCAACCATGGGTCCTCTACATTGATGGCTCTTCAACAGCCGACCGAGCAGGCGCAGGGATAGTCTTAGCTGATCCAGAGAATCGGTTATTCTGTCATTCGGTGAAATTCCTCTTTCCAGCAACAAACAATGAAGCCGAATACGAAGCGCTGCTATCCGGATTAAATTTAGCGGAGTCCATGAACGTGACCCACCTCAAAGTCTTCTCAGACTCACAACTCCTCGTCAATCAAGTCAATGGTTCGTATGAAGTCAAGGAACCTCGGCTGACACCTTATCTCTCTTTAGCTAAACGGAAATTATCAAAATTCTCCGCCGACCTCGAGCATATCCCCCGGACTCTCAATGTTCAAGCAGATGCCTTATCTCGACTTGCGTCCAGTACCGGGATGGAGAGCGCGGAGTACATCCAAATCGGCCAACAAGAACAACCATCAACTGCCCTTTCCGAGGTCACGGCCATCAATCCAGTAGCATCGCAAAAATCACCAACTTGGATGGATCCTATCATCCACTACCTGGAAACTGGGGCCTTACACCCGAACCCAAAAGAAGCTCGAGCACTTCGGATTCGAGCAGCTCGGTACACATTAGACAACGGAACTCTGTTCAAAAGGGGATACTCCGTTCCACTTTTGAAATGCGTAAGTGAAACTGATTCACGGTACATTCTTGAAGTAGTCCACGAGGGGATTTGCGGAAGTCACCCCGGTGCACAGGCATTGTCTTATAAAATCCTGCGGCAAGGTTACTACTGGCCGACTCTGAAGACCGACGCCGCCATATGGGTGCGCAAATGCCCGAAATGCCAAATGTTTGCCCCGAACATTCATCAATCTCCCGAAGAACTAAAATCAATTTACAGTCTGTGGCCTTTTTCCAAATGGGGAATTGATCTTATTGGTCCTCTACCAACCGGAAAGGGAGGTGTCCGGTTTGCTATCGTGGCAGTTGACTATTTCACTAAGTGGGCCGAGGCCGAACCGTTAGCCACGATAACCGAACAGAAGGTCGTGGATTTTGTGTGGAAGTCAATTATCTGTCGCTTCGGGGTGCCGAATTCCATCATAACTGACAACGGCAAACAATTTGAAGGCAAACGACTTGAATCCCTGTGTGAAGAATACAACATCAAACACTTCTTCTCGTCGCCTTACCATCCGCAGTCCAACGGTCAGGTTGAAGCCGTAAACAAACTCATAAAGAATGGTCTCAAAGTCCGACTTGACGCCGCAAAAGGAACTTGGCCCGAGGAGTTACCACATGTCCTGTGGGCATACCGAACCACCACTCGGACGTCCACCGGCGAGACCCCATTTTCTCTAACTTACGGTTCCGAAGCCGTAGTCCCGGTGGAGCTCGGAGAACCGACTTACCGAGTTCAGCATTTCACCGAAGAAGCCAATTCGGAAAACATGAAAGCAAATCTGGACCTGCTTGAAGAACACCGTATTCGGTCTGAACTCAAGAATGCTGCATACAAGCAAAGAAATGAAAGATACATCAATTCTAAACTCAAACCCCGTGCGTTCCGAGTTGGAGATTTAGTCCTCAAACGTATCATGGGGCCTGACCCCGGACCACTCAAACCGCGGTGGGAAGGACCCTTTCAAATCATCAAAATCCTACCTCATGGGGCCTACCGAATTGCTCATCCCGATGGAACACCACATCAATATCCTTGGAACGCAGTGTTCTTGAAAAAATTCTATCAATGAAGGATCCGAAGTCGCATAATCGACCTCCCTTTTGTACGGACCTTCTCTTTTGCCTCGGTGAATGCCTGAAATCACCTCTTTTGATGTACTGAATAGCCTATCAGTTTACATATTTTGAAAAGTCGAGCACCAAGCTCGATGCCGATGTAAACCTTTTGAAACATGGTTAAATATATCATGCCGATGTAAGCATTGCGACACTCGGTCTATCTGATACCCCGTAATACATCCAAACCCCACGTATGGTTTGGTTGGGGTTGAAGCTCGTCAAACGTCACTTCAGCTAACATGATTTGACGGGTCCCGATAATTACCGAACACTTATACAGACAACTCGGTTGGGACCATTTCATAATCGGACTCTGACGAAGTCCGGTGACTTTCATTTTGTTTCCCGTACAGCCCTAAAAATGTGTTGAGTTCTGCGAAGTTATTTGAAAACTCGCATAATCGACTCACACTTGTGGCTGAGATTCTTATAAACGATCGAAGTGGAATTCGGAAGTTAGTTATACAAAATCTTACAACTCGGATCATGATTTAAGTAATTCCGAGTTGAAGCAATTTATTTTCTAATGAAAACCGAATTCAGAACACTTTGGTCAAAAAATTGCTGAAATTTGTACAGCAAAACATACAATCAAAATCAAGCATATGCCAACACTTCATATATAAATATATTTCGAAAAGTTTGGGGAATCCCATACATATTTCCTACTAAGGGAGTCGGCTATCCGACATCCCCGGTTACACACCATAAACTTTTAAAATATTTCCTACTAAGGATACCGACATGCCGGCACCCCGATTACCTTATGCAAATCAATAAGTAAAGAAAACGACAAAGACAAAACGCAGAAAATCAATTCTAGACCTCCTCGGTTGGTTTCTCCACATTCTCTCCGGTGCCACTGCTTTCGCCGACTTCAATCCCGTAAGATAGTCGCTCCAGGACCTGCGATTCCTTCATTTTGGCAACAGCCTCAATAGCCCCATCCGGCACCGGAATAAGATCATCACGAGGGTCGGTCAGCTTCTCAACGCCATCTTCAGCCGGCGTGACAACCTTCACCACTTCGACATCCTTCTCGACCGACTTTGCCTTCTCCTCGAGGTATGCTTTAACCCGGCTCTGGATTTGTTCAGGAGTCATATCATCAAAGTGTTGCTCAACCTCCACCTCGGCCAACGTTGAGAGGTACACATCGGCCAACTCCTTCCTCTTTTCCTTCTCCTCTTCCAAGATCATGTTGACGTAAGCACGTCGGAGAAGAGCAGCCCTATCCTCGGAAAGCGGTGGCAAATCTGGGTTTGCATTCATTTCTTCTGAACGGCGGAGCATCCACACACAGAATTCCCGTTCGTCTTCATCAGCCGCCACGTGCATCCCCTTGATCTCCGAGTCAAAACCATACTTCTCTAATTTATGGAAAAGGAACAGGCGAAGGTCGTCGATATCGTAGTAGCCGGCATCGTAGCGCTCAATGATCCACCTCAAGTTCAGACATGTGTTCATTTCAATCTCGAGGTCGGGACCACCGGCTTCATCCTCTTCACCGACCTCATCAGCATCCACCTCGGCATTGTCCCCGGACTTCGGCTCCATGATAACCGAATCTTTCCCGGCCTGAAATCCGTTCTCATACATGAACTCTCCATAAGATGATTTCTCCCTCTCAAGTTTATCTATGTCGGCCTGATGAGCGTCGTGCTGCCGACCCACAAGTTCGCGAGTCTCGGCACACTCTCTACGAGCTGCTTCATGATTAGCCTTTTCCTCCGACAAGGCCTTCTCGGTTTCCATCAGCTTGACTTCGGAAATTTTGAAGTGCTGCTCCACCACGGCCAAGCGCGCTTTAAGATCCACCACTTCGGCCTCATAGGCCTTCTTCTCATCAGACAATGTCACAGCCTCAGCTTTCACCTTCTCCAACTCGGCAACCTTCTCGGCAATTTGGCCCTTCAAGTCGGCCTCCATTTTAGCCGATTCTTCCTTCAACTGAACAATCGCCACATCACGTGCGGCTAAAACATCCTTCTTCCCTTCCAATTGAGATGTGACCCGGCGATGATCGTCCTCGGCCGCCACTAAGCTAACCAAGGCCCTGCCAACACATGCCTTGGCGTAGCTCAGCCTGTCAACACTGGACAAAGAGGAGACCCCCACTTCGGATTTGGGATCCCAAACCATCAACGGGACCCGAGCAGCATCTCTCGCATTCTCCGGCATTTCGATTCTCGATGACATATGAGGAGACTTCACCGACAAAAAAGTGGTAAACCAATCCTCCACCACACCCTCAGGCACCTTAACTCTGGCAGCCCGTTCCTCATCAATTGATAAAAAAGACTTCTCAAACAAGGGAGAGTCATCCGTACCTTTTTCAGTCGCTTTACGACCGGAGTCGTGCTTCTTCTTGGACCTTTTCTCAACTCCGGACGAAGCACCGACATCCGCCATCTTCACCAATTTCCTCTTCTTTCTCCTCTCTGGTTGCTCCAACTCAAGTGACTTCGGGGACGCTGGTGGCACCTCGGTATGAGCAACCTCAGTAGTAACCATTTCGGTCCCAGCAATAATTGGCTCCGAATCAGCTTGATTAATCGCCACAGCCTCCACTACCGACAACACTTCGGTAGTCGCCACCTCGGGCACAGACTTCGGACTTTCCGGCATGGCAGCCGAAGTGGCACTTGACCCCACCTCGGTCGACTTCTTCCCAGCATTCTTCTGACCAGCTGTCTTCTTCACCAACGCGCGAACAAGATCCCTCCTCATAGCGTCGTTTAATCTCAAATCACGGCTCTTACCGACTTTAGATTGAAGGTCTCTGTTCGGAAATTTACGCCTGAACTCCTTGGCTTCCTTGACAGAGTTGTAGCCCAAGAAACCGAGGAGAGGATAATACACTGCATACCAACAAGAGATAAAAGTTACAAACAGCTGCTCCATATACACGAAAAAATTCGACATTTTTATTGGCTAAAATTCTCTTACCGGGGTCAAATTTCGATGTCGTGACTCCCAGAGACAAACCGGCCGCTTCAAGTTTCGAGTCTACTACGAGCCTACGAGCTTGCGATAATCCCTCTCTGCTTTATCCAAACCGGCCAAGGTTATCAACTTCCCACCGAATTCCGGACTTAACTTCGGTTCTTTTTGCTTCGTCTCTTTTTCTAGAACAGAGTAAAAGTTCCGACATGTTAGTACACAGAAGAATACAAAAATCAGACAAGTATATCCGAATTGAAAAAACAGAAAGTAAACTCACTGGCTCCGGAATGAATTAACATGGGAATTGTCATCCCATCAATTCGGCGCTCATGAAAGAAGTCCACCGACTGCCATTCTCCACCGATCCACACCCACTCCTC